ATAATAGCTATGCCATCTACTACACCACCACCTAAAATGTGTATAAAAATACATAGAAAAATCATGTAAATAACTTTATTCTTTTAACAATTATTATTTGTAAAAAAAAATACTTCATCTTGTAACTAATGCTACTTCTTAAGCTGCCCCCCAGTGGCACAGCGGTATGTCTGCAGACTTACAATGCTAGAAACTGGGTTTCGATACCTGTGGTGGGCAGAGCTCAAATAGCCCATTGTGTAGCTTTGTGCTTAATTCCAAAACAAACAAACTTATTAAGCAACATGATTCCTTTCACCAGAATTACTTTAATAATCACAATGAAAATTAAATGAACCATAGCATATTGACCAGGTCTGATTTCATGCATAATGTCTTAAGTCAATGGTTTCCAAACCGGGGGCCATGGTAAGTTTTGGTGGGGTCGTAAGTTTGATAGAAAAAAATCATGTGTAGCAATGAAAAGTTGAATGGATCAGTTAAAATATATCTTTGAGCAGGTGAATTGTGCAGATTCAGGATGTCTGAAATGGAATCGGTAATGAAAAGAAGCTTCGGAACTATTGACCTAAGGAATCATGTAAAAGTATTTTCTGCAAAAATTTCACAACTAATCTATACTTTGTAACCTTCACATTATTACTAGGTAAAGTTAAAACTAAAAACATAATTTCATATTTCCAAAGCATACTCAACAAGTATCTCCATCTTGATTTCAAGTACAGATTGTTGAAGCATTTTTGTACAAAATATAGATTTGTAACAAAAATATTCATACAACAAGAGAGCTCAATTTTTTGTGTAATCGAAGACTAATCAACTTCATTATACAATAAATTGTATTTTTTAGAAATGCTTTTTTAAAAAATTAAACTTTAAGCCACCCCCACTTTCTTTGGGGGGAGAAGGGGCTATGCTGTTCTGAAAATTAAGAGAATACTTTTTAAGCATTGTGAAACATATTTCATTATTCTAATATTACATGTATTAATAATTCTCTACACACAGTTCAACTAGTTGCAAGTTACCAGCAGCACTGATGCAGACAGTATTTCAAACAATGTGATGTTGATGGTTTTCTGGACATTAATGCCTGAAGAAAGATAAATATTCATGTTTGAATATAAGTATGATACTAGAATTATGACATGATATCATAAACAGATAATTACACGGTCATGATTATGGTTTATAACATCTGATAACAACTCAGACTGTTCTTGTCAAATGCTGAAGTGACTTATTTCCAGTTTCCAAAATGGGAAGCTAGCTACTATACGTGAATTAAGAATTCTTCTAAAGCTGAGTGTTTAAGCAGTCATTTCACTAAAAGTTGATGACAAATTACAAATCTTTTGTGTCAGATAAAATCATTATTTCAAACTCTATTACTGTTAAAAGAAACACAAGTGTGCCCCCCCCAAAGAAACCAGTGCTGAATTATAAAACGGTACAAAATAAAAGACAGTGTAATACATTATTACCTAACAAACAGATTTATTATCACAATGTTTTATGCAGGACACTCATTTTTACATGCATTGAAGCTATAAAAGTGCCTGATGAAGAGCATATTCCTAAAACATTGTGCTAATATATTTATGTTTTGAAGTAATAATATACCATTTGTTTTCTTCTGTTTTACAGTTAATTTTATAATTTCACACCTGAACATCATATAACCTTATTGGGTAAAAAATGATGAATCTTGTGCAAATTTTAAGGTTTATATCTACAATCAAAATGTGTCTATGTATAATTAAACCCTTCTGAGAAAGTACAGGTGAAAGGTGATTCACAATGGAACTTAATGCTATTATACAGATTAAAATTAGTAGAAAAACTCAAACTAAAACATCTTTTCAAGCATACACAAAATTCCAACAATGAACTAATTACTTGGTTTATGAACCTGAAGTAATAACTTGAAACATCATTAGCTCTAAATAATCTTAAAAAATTATATTATATGGTCTTTCAATATTTACAAAATGTTTTCACTAAATAAAGAAAAATCATTATATGCACATGGAGTACATATTATCAGAGACCCTTATGATAATACAAATCACAGGAAAAGCAGTCAACCACCAATACCTGCTATTATGAGGGCTTTGTTTGATACTTTGAACAAAGTAATAGGATTTACTAACACTTTATCAAATACAGCTGAAAATATGGAGCATGCTCAATGGCAACGTGTCTCGAACACCAGACCAATCAATCAAAGTCTTACATGCTAACCCCTATGCCATAACTCAGAAAAATACATTCCAACAATTAATAACAATTATGAAAAATAACAAAACTAAATAGCAAGTTGTTGTTTATCCAGTGTTTTGATGTAAGCGCCGCTGTTAATTGGCTGAGTTGCTTCAAAATCTCAAACAGGTGTCAGGTCTGTGTCTATATTGGTGCATGTTTAGAGATACAAACTTATACTCTTATTGTTTATGATTTATAAATACTTAAAACCCATTTTAACAACTGATAGCAGTGAATGAAAAAATAAGTATTTTGACCTTTAAGCATTACAGCTGATGATTATATTAGGAAAACATCTGAGACATATATATAGTTAGGAATGCATTAATTTTCTGACAGTTGTAGAGGATATGATTTCCATTAAACAATGAATATTGAAAAAGCCAGTTTTTTAAGTTGGTCTTAGAGTATTTAAAAGCGATACACATTGGAAAGAAACCAGTGATAAAGAGAAAATGACTAATATTGGGAACGTAGATGAACTGTGCAAGCTTATGTTGAACGTTTACAGAATAATAACAAATATATCTTTAACACCAATAAGTAATTATGCACAGGAAGTGCTGAAATCTTTCAAATCTAGTCACAGTTCAGGGTTTATTATTTAGAAGAGGCAGAGCTCTAAAACACTTAAGACACAAGAACTGCAACGATACTAGGCAGTTATAAACTCAGTTATTCGTATTCATTCAGCTGTGATGTAAAAACTTAAGCTATTCATGTCAGACTTTGAGCAGGTTAGTCAAACTACACAGACCAGTTTTGTGATACAGGACTGCAATGGAGTACTTTTAAGAAAGAATGTTTTTTTTCTACCTTTAGACAGACGACTACCTCTATGTGGCAAAGCAATGTCAAGGTAATAATTTGTATATGTACCTTTTTTTTCTCCTTTAGGTACAAATATTTACATATTATAAAGCCAACCCTTAGGCTTTATAATATGTAAAAAGAATTTATACCTTAAGGAGAAAAAAAAAAGGTGGATTGTTGTAAATACTCACTAAAATTTAGATTTTCAGCATTGAGTTGGATTTTACAGAGTAAATACTCATTGACCTAAAATCTTATCTAGAGTTCTGAAAAATTAAAACATATTCAAGAACACATTTATATATATTTATCATTATTTTGAAAACTGAGTAGAGTATTCAATTCTGTGAATAAAAATCAAGAACATGTGAAACAACGTTTCTGTTTTTTGATGTAATGTATTTTCTCATCACATTAATCCCTTTTCTTCTAAACAATGAATAATACCTGTTTTCAATCAGAAATCTGAAACTATGACCATTCTCTAATCAAGAACACCTGGTACCTCACCAAGAAATAGCGACAGCAGGATAGACCACTCAACAGACACTTCTGATGTCACACAAAACACAATATAAGATTAAATAGTCAATTTCTATTAAACATATTTTATTCATTGTATAAAAATACTGTTATTAAAATATTTATTGTGGTTTAAAATTCTGTTACTTTTAACCTAATTATTTATCTCAAATGGACTGGATGACAGATCAGGATGGTCACGACTCTCCCAGGAATAAAACTGTTGGCTCACTATAACAATCATTTGGAGAAAAACAAGCAGTAATAACAAGATTATCACTATCTTCTGGCATTTCTGAAGGGTGTCATTCTGTTTTTGCAGCTGGAGCATCTGAAACAACCAAAGCTTGAATTTCATGATAAAGACTTTAATTTTGCTTTTTATTCACGAGTTAATGATAAAAATACTAATAGACACCCTGTATTATGTTTCTTCATATTATATTTTGATTGTGTGTTATAGAGGAAACTGAGTAACTCATGAACTATTGCTAATAGTTATCTTGTAATTCCTTAATATTTGTTATTATATTTTAATTGTGCCTCATAATGATAGATGAATAACTCATGAACTAATAATAATAGTTTCCTTGTACTTACTAAAAATTGTCCTTCTGTTATGGATGCTACACTTTAGTTTTACCCTATACTTGAAACTACTTTCTGAAGATTACTACCCATTTCTGAGTCACATCTGTTATTGCTAGTTAAATAATTCTTAATAACAGCATAAAGTCATTTAAAAGTTTCAAATTTCTCATAATAAACTCACATTCAAAGAATTATTGTTCACCACAATTTATAGGTTGTGATTCAGTGAAGATAAACTACTCTTGCAACAGAAATAAAAATTTTAAATCATATATACACTAGAGCAAGTTGATTTAATTGATGCACAAGCCAAAATTGTTTCTACATATAACCTAATGTACATGACTGAAGGGGTTAAATTGTATAATAACTTATAACTGTATTTAAAGACTTACCTCTTTCTGCATGCTTTCTATTTTATCTTCCAAAATTTTGTGTGGGAGGTGATCAGTTTGGGTATGAATAGAGGTAGTCCCGAGAGATTTGTTTACTACATCTCCTAGCATGGATACAGGATGAACACATCTAAATCTGAAGAGAATTAAAGGCTTTGCTATAACTTCTTTTATTCCCACCCAGATAGGTCTACTTATAACAACCAAATAGGACAAATCACCTTGCTTACTAATAGTATGTTAAAAAAACGAACCAGCCATTTATCAAAATTAATTCAAAAGCAAGAAAGCTAACACTACAAATAACATGAGATATTAGCACAATATAAAATCACATGCTTAATTTTACATGTACAATTTTACCCACAAATAAAATAAATTTTAAATAACTTTTAGGCAGTTGGTAATGAAAAAATTTGCAAGATATAAGTTTAATTAGAATTTCACAGTAGAAAAACAAAATGTGGCTATGATAGAGTTAAGGAGTCTGTCCTAGAATGTTTAAAACTTGGGAAAATTGATTCAAATGACATCCAGTTATACCAGAACAGTGTTTTTGGCCTTTAATCCACAAATATCTGACAGGTTATAACTAGAGTTTAAGAAATTATGGAAGTAAAAAATTTTGAATAAAACATTCTCAAGTTTTGCAGATGTTGGAAAATTAAAAATGATGACAGCAGGTTATGCATGCCTCTTTATTCAAAATGAGGACCCTAGGTTCAAGGAAGTTGAAGTTTCTCACCAGAGAATATTGCAATAGAGATTTTTCTGGGTATTTTAAATACCTTTTTCAGCAGAAATTATTTGCAGTTCCACCCAAATTCTAAAAGCTGTTTGTCTAATATTTGCTGTTTTCTTTTGATTTCCATCAGAATTCTTTCTGTTAACCTTCAGTTTGGGCACATTTGTGTGGATTGATGCATCTTGGATGTCAAGTTGTAGAAATGTAAATGCAGACAGGGCATTTTTCAATAATTCAGGTTTTCTGAACCTTTCCAGCAGTCCCTTGATCAAAGTTGTCATGTCACTGGAGAGAAACTGTAGTATTGATTTGTCTGTCTGATAAAGTTTCAAGTTGGCTTTGAAAGAAAACCATCTTTAATAACTGTCTAGATGTGCCTAAATGATTTGTCGTTTTGCTCTGTAACTTCTCCAGATTTTTTGGCACTGCCATATTGTGCAACATAAGGCATGATCTGAAGAACTCTGCCGGCAACCTCAACATTTTCAAATCACCTGTGTCTGCAGAAATCCAAAAGAAAAGATGTGCAACCTATCACAGTTATGAAATCTTTATGGTGAGCTGATGAATCTTTAAAAAAAAATATCACAGACTTCAAAGAGCATGGTTAACCTTCCAATCTGTTGCTGCACATCCAGCTCTAAATTAATTGTGCAAGACATTGAAGCCACAGTTGCCCACATTAAGAATGTTCTTACTTGTTTGCTTTTCAACATTTTCTTGCAAGATCAAGTGCAGCTTCCAGTTAACATTAGGTATATCCAAGAAGAGTTGCACAAGATTACTGAAGTCCAAATCTTAACACACTGTTTCATATTTCTCGTAAGCCTGCTCAGACATACAATGAACCATGAAGTAAGATATCAAGTATCTTAACTGGACACAATTATCATTCCAGAATCGGATGACCACATACAGCTGACTACTTTGTACCTCAATGTTCAAACTCTAATGAAACAGCATAAACTATCCTGACTGTTATTTAGCTTTATTTTCTTGCAGAAATAAGAAGTGAGGTGCTATCTCAAATGTTAAAAGGTATGCCATTTTTTCTTTTACCACAAGTGAATTGTTTAGCTACTGCACTGTCATTAAACATAAACTGAAAAATGCTGCTGATCCCTTCACATGACTTGTATGAATGTTGACTGCTTTGGTTGCCCAGCAAGTTTCTGCAATGAAAGCTGGATTTGAACTGACAAAAAACAGTATTGTTTTTGCTGATGAGGTTGACATAAGTTGAGGTAAAAAAAGCTGAATTAGTAGAAGACATGCAAGTTACAGTTGATGTGGTACTGACAACTGATGTTGATGGCATCATTATGTTCTTTTTTGTCTTGATGTTTGCAATCTCCTCCATCAAGGATCTTTTCTGGATATTTTCCTTATGAGCCTCCTTAAATTAAATGAAATTCTTTTTTTTTGTTTTGTGTCAAGCCATCTGTGTTTTAAGAAATCCAAAGGAAAAGATGTAAATGAATAGAAATGGTAGTATAAACTGTATGTGCATAATAGTATACAGTTAGGGCTTAAAAATGGATCTGACCTACACTACCTAAATAATGAAACCTCAAGTTAACTTTTTTACTAATTTAATATACAGGCTTAAAATTTGCTATTAGCAGATGGGTGAAAGTTTCAATTTGGTCTCAGCCAATGGCTCAGAAACAGATCTTAAAAAATATGGGAAGTTTGCAAATTACACCAAATCATTTTTTTACTATAAATGTTACTATTTGAACTTACCTTTAGCATGGTTTGAAAATGCAGATTCAACCATTACAGATAAGTCAATTATTGTTTTGCAAGGAATACAGAGAGCTTTGCTTAGGTTCTGCATATATTTTTTTTTTTTAAACCAAGATTTATACTTTGCATTTTCAGCCCCCTGCTGTTAAATACATATTTCTCAAGCATTTTGCCACTCATATGAACTAAACGAGTTTTAGTGAAAAAGTAAAAACGAAATTGTAGCACAACATAATTCTCATTGATTTAACTTCTATTCCTCATCATCTGATTCATAACCTATTCCCTCTGAACCTGCTGGATGTCTAGCATGCATGCTGCACATTTAATAACAGACTTTGCAGCTTACAACACTGCCTATACACATGAAAATTGTTAGTGCACATTGAGGACTATATAATGAGAATTAATAGTTGGGAGTTATATAAATTTTATTCACATTTTTTCCAAAATGGATCAAATTCAAGATACTATAATTTTACAAAACAAAATTCAAGTACTTCCCTAAACTTTGTAAAAAAAACAAAAAGTCAAATTTCAAGTAATTTTAAGGCTTTGGATTTGCTATTTAAAAATATGTGAACTTTCAAGGTTTTCACAAACCCCGTTGTTTCTTTGTACATATTGGTTCATCATGAAATTAAGCTAATAATAAATAAATCCCTTAAGATCATATTACACAGTATTGTATACTTACTTGTGTTTTAAAATCTTTTCTGGATAATTATTTTCCCATAACTTATTAATTTGAAGTCCTTTTGCATCCTCATCTTCAATTTCCACAGCCAATAGAAGTAATTTATCTGTGGTTCCACAGCGAGACCCTAGGTTTAAATGAAAGTTATATTTTATTAATATCAAATGATACTTTTACTCAAGGAAAAAGGCCTGTTTGTAAATGTATAAAGTGAACTTAAGTAAATGTAGCTATGTCATAACTGATCCATTCTTAGTGTTCTTCTTACATAGATGCACAAGATACAATGCAGTTATTGTCTATATTAAGTTAATTAATCCAATATATAAATACAAACTGTAAAGGTGGCACTAGGGAAGAATTTGTGTAATGATAAAGTATGCATATTAATCCTTTGAGTATGAAGTGTCTCTCGTGCTATGAAATGGAAATATCATACTTGTTAAAAGATTATTCAACTTTTAATAAGGACTTTACCCTTTTTTCCTATATAAAGCTTTAAAAATTTTAAATTTGATACTTTACAAAAAATAATAAGAAAATGTTTGAAGCATTTTTGAAAATATAACTTTTCTAAAAAACATATAAAATGATAATCTTTTACTTCTCATCTTCCACAACTACTACTACATTTAAATAGCCTAACTATTATATTGAAAATTATATCAAACTAGGGGATAAACTCGTTCTTCACATACTATGTACATACTCAAATTACTTGACTACTGAAACATTATTTAAGAACAAAACAAAGAAAAGAAAATTGATAGAATTGAATCCTTGACCTCCCGCATACAAAGCATGTGCTGCACCATATGAGCCAAAGCCCAAAGATTTTTTTCACATATGCAGCATTATTAAGTGGGATACCATATACACACACACATATATATGATTCTTGAAGTGTATTAAGCTTTCTGAGAACAAAAGCTTGATGATTTCTGCAATATCAACCTTTTGTTATACAATGAAAAAGTATGCACTCATCTTTATCAGTAAAGCTTTTATCTTCAAGTATTAAATTAAAAATTTTTCCCATTTAAATGACATATCAAGTTTGTTAGATATTTCAAAAAATGATATTTATAACACAAAAAACCATTTATTCAAGAGCTGAAGAGCCTAATTTATGTTACACATTATATTTAAACCCTCTAAATCAAGTGTATGTTCTTTTAACTCAGATGATAAATTTATATTGGTATAAGATGTTGTTAATACAATTATACATGACAAAAATGTTATCCAATATGTTTGTAAGATACCCACGATATAATCAAACCAGAAACGATTGACATTTACATTATACAAATAATAGCTCTCCATTTTATGAGAGTGTAATTATTTTATGCACTAACCTGGAGTTAGTTGAATGTGAACAATGATGTATTCTCCAGGCTTAATTACACCAAAAGATGGATGGACGTGGTAGTTTCCCAAGTTGTTTGTTTTTAACTAGGGATAAAATAAAGAATTCTCTCACATCTATCACTTCAAGTTTTTGTAGCTCTTTGTATATTGTAACCAAATGAAGAATTTGGTTAATTCTTTTAAGCTAATTACAGATTAACAAAGCATTCATTCATTAATTATATGCACTAATGTATTTGTGAACAATATAAAAAAATATGATTAAGCTAGAACAAGCTTTAGAGAGAGAAAACAACAACAAACACAAGCATTAAGCAAGTATCTCTAGCTAGATTCAATCAAGGAAATAACAATGCAACTGCCTTACTTTGTAAGCTACACAATTACTGGTGATGCTCGTAAGGGTAAGGCACACATAAGTAGCTTCGGAGTCACTAGTTTCAGGGAACACTATTGCCAAGCCTGGGCTATGAAAAGATTGAGCAATGGAATGTAATTCTTGCATCATCAACTAATAATATAAATATTCAACACAGCTATACTGCACTTTACAAGTAATGCTTCTTTCTGTACACTGTTTTAAACAAACATGTAGTCAGCTGGGTCTTTAGACAACAGAAAAACACTAAAACACAGCAAAAACAAATTAGTACACCACTCTTAGAAAACATTGAAGTATTTGATAACATATGAAAACTTCTTATTTTCCAACTAGAATTTCATTGAACAAATATTTCACAAAATTCCCCTGTTCATATTGTTAGTGACAACTAGTGTGCTGTAATAAAACTAGCCAGTAAATGAAAAAAAAAAAAAATACTTATTGTCTATAATATTTCTGCACATATAAGGTTGAAATCCTAAAGAAATAATAAAACAACAAGTTCAGCCAACAACTGAAATCAAACTTGCTAGGTATAAATACACACAAAACAATAATCTCATCCAGCAACACAGAGAAACAATTCCCAACACCTTTTCCCAGATGATTTGGATTGGTAAGTGGCTGATAAACCTCATTGATGGATTAAAGGATTAAAATGAATTATATTACTTTGTTTTTTAAGGATCATGTTTAATTACTAATGTTAACAAAAGGAATTTGTAACTTGAAATGGTGCAAAAATAATTTTGTTACTTAAAGATTTATAAACAGGTTTCACACAAACATTTCATAGACAAGCTGGTCATACTCCCTGTCAGCTACAAGATAGTAGCAAAGATTGACACATTCATTTGTAGTAATTTTTTGATATAAACTAATATTTATGTCTATTACTTCATACAATGACCAATATTGAATTATACATAGTATTTTCCACAATGGTAAGTATGTATGTAAAGCTCTTTTAACACAGACTAATACTTCCAAGACAAGAGAGAGTCCTTGCACTTAATGACAACTTGGGTCACCACGACCATCCAGAAAGAGACCTGCAACAAGATGTATCCCAGTCATAGTAATCTTGTTTGCTTATGGCAAAGCTAAAAAGGCTGTCAGCTGCCATTCATAATTTTGAACTGCTGGCCAGAGGGAAGATAACCAACCAACCAACAACACCATCAACTCCTGGGCTACTCTTTTACCAATGAACAGTGGGATTAATTGTCACATTATATACAGCCAAAAAGGTGAGCAAGTTCAACATTTCATTTTGGTTTTGCAATCCTCAGATTGAGAAATTAGCACCCTAACCAACCCACCATGGTAAGTGCAACATCTTGTAACAGGTGAGAATCCATCAAGCTAAAAGACATCCACATATAACATGCAACAGTACAAAATATCAACAAAATCATGAAGAATATCTGTCTGGACAAGCTACAGAAGATGCTTCCATGACATATTAATGGCCAACCATTCAATACTTCAAATGGTTGTGTAATGGTCTAAAATAAAGATGCCACTACATTTAGGGTTCAACAACAATAAAAGTAATTTATTCAACTATAAAAACATATAATTTAATTCAATAGTTAATAAACACATGCCTGGCCAGGACTTAACACTAATGTTAATGAACAATATATCATAAATATCAATATTATTTCAAATAATGGAATTAGAAAAAGAACCAGAAAAAGAAAAAAGCTAATTCCAAAAAAATTACAGCAACATAAAAATACCATTCCATATTAATAACAATATCAAGGGATAAACAGCAATAATTCACTAACTATCTTGTGAATTTCTCTTTTAGTGAAGCTTCTGGCAGGGTATTTATTCACTGAGTAGGTCATGAGAGTACACCTCATGTGATCATAAATTTACATAATGTTTTGCGGCATTAATAGTATTTGTACATTACCACTAGGGAAGCTGGTGTCAGTTTCATCATACATACATATTTACTCAAAATACAAATGATTAGCTAGAAGGTGAGTTAGCATTTTAATGCAACTAAGAATTCATTGATAGGAAATAATAAATGAACGATAATCACAACCATAACAAAAATAGATTTTGCTATATCACAGCTGGAGAATGAAACAGGTGTTCAAACTATTCCATGATAAGATATACCAGTCAAGAAATCAGATGCAGAAATCTCTGGATTTCTATGAGGCTGGATTGTCGAAATGGGCACTGGGAAAATCATCATCTTCTGATATTAAATGGCTTATAAAAAAAAACGAAAAGAGAAAAGGAGTGTGCTTACACATGACAGCCTTTCTGAAATGGAAACTCTGCTGCAGGGCTATTACTAAGATGCATGGTATTCAGAAAGTGCATGACTGGACATGGACTGTAACAGTGTGGTGAGGCTCCAAAATCATTTTAATATAGCAAAGGTAAACATTTGTGTAAATCATTTTCATGAAGAATATATGCTTATTTTCTGTAGTACTTTTAGTAGAAACTGAATTTTCTGTAAACAGCACTTTCAATAAAAACTAATAGTTTTCAGGTATAATACTTTCAAAACAGATTGCTTGTGTGTGTGTATATATATATATATGGGATTTTCAATGAAAACTACCATTTGCAAACAGTCTTTCAGAAAAGGAACAACACTTACCACATCTTGAGCAGTGAACCCAGACTTTGGATATCCCCAGAGGAAGAATGTGGTGAGAGAAGAATGTTTTGGTCATTAGATGTAAATTTCTGTAAAAAACACTGGAATTATAAATATATTTTACTCATTATCTTTAAATGTAAGTTGTACTTGTGAAATATAATATTTTTGAGTAATTTATACATAAAAAAAAGTTGTTCTACGTAAACCATTAAAAGGCTCTGATATATAAAATTTATTAACTTTAATTGTACATAAAACAAAAAAATACACTATTTTTCACTAGTTATACAATTACTGTCTTTTCAAACAATACACAAACTAAACTTTGTAATACTGTTCTTACTAAAAATTAGACATTGTGTAGTGTACCATTTTACAAAGGTACTACTAACCACTAGAAAATCAAACTAAATAAAGGTATTGGTGTTTTTACTAGTCATTTACTCACCACAATGATCCTACATTTATATAGGATTTGAAGAACAATTAAATATTGATGCTACTAACTTATTCTTCTGAATTATTCAACAGACAAACTGATTAAAATACTAAACATTTTTTGTATTCCTAACCATTTAATAAGAGAAATATTAATCTACTAACTGCCAAAACCTACCTTTTCAATGTTATAGTTCTTATCTGACTCGTATATTTCATTTTCTTTGGCAAAATAAACCTGAAGGCAAAGAAAGAAACAAAAGAGAAAGTCGTGTTTTACTAACTTTCTAAAAAATATTGTAGTCAAGCTTGATCTATGACATATTTGGTGATTAACTTCTAGTTTAAGACAGTCATTTACATCGACATCACCTTTACAATGTGTGTGTGTTTTCTTATAACAAAGCCACATCAGGCTATCTGCTGTGTCCATCAAGGGGAATCAAACCTCTGATTTCAGCATTGTAAGTCTGAAGACTTATAGCTGTCCCACCAGAGGACCACCTTTACAATACACAGACCTCTCCTTTACAATATACTGACACCACCTTTCCAACATACAGACACTTCCTTTACAACAGACACCACCTTTACAATATACTGACATCACCTTTCCAACATACAGACACTTCCTTTACAACAGACACCACCTTTACAATATATTGACATCACCTTTCCAACATACAGACACTTCCTTTACAACAGACACCACCTTTACAATATACTGACATCACCTTTCCAACATACAGACACTTCCTTTACAACAGACATCACCTTTGCAATATACATACATCTCCTTTACACCATATGAACATTGTCTTTAAAATATACAGACATCTCCTTTATAATGCTATGCTTCACTGCAATGTTTTATCACAATAAATGGGTGTATTTCAACATTTTTTTTCCTGTTCTTCAAGTAATTTGTTTCTTTTAACATAAAATACAGGTTGGCCCAGTGGTAACTCTCAAGATTTTGGAACTGGAAATTCACGTAATACCACAAAATATTACCTGCACTTTAAGCTGTGAGTGCATTATAAGAGTAACAGTTAATTCCTTACTATGGATGGTGGGTGAAAGGGTGCTGATGACTGGCTGCCTTCCCTCTTGTCAATAGTTCAAAATAAAAGATGACAGCAAATAGCTTTGCCATAATTAGGAAATCCTTTTAATATTAATTGCCAACTTAAATCACATAAATATACATCTCTTTTGAACTTCTGATAATGAAAGCCCACATATTAAGATAAAAGTGCTTTTGAAAAATGCAGTTAGCAGTGATTTAATCTTCTAGCATTATTTAATATACCACTAAAGGCATCATGTAAATACAATATTAATCAACAAGTCTTGTGCCCCAGTGTTATGTAATCAAGATTAATCGGTATCAAAACATTAGTAGTGAGTCAAATAATCTCATTGAAGGTCATGTTCAGTAGAAGGTGAAAAAAATCATTGTTGTACATGCTTGGCTCACTGGGGTGTGTTATTACTTTGAGGATAGCCAAAATGTTTTGTGGACTAGAAAAAATCAGGTGATGTTATTATGTGTTGTGTGTTAGGAATAATAAAATAATGTTTTATGTGCTGAGGGATAGGAATAATAAGATAATGTCTTATGTGCTATCAGGTAGGAATAATCAGGTGATGTTGTATGTGCTGTCAAGTAGGAATAATCAAGTGATGTTGTATGTGTTGTCAGGTAGGAATAATAAGATGGTGTCTTATATGCTGTTAGGTAGGAATAGTTATCATTTTCCTAAACTGAAAATGTATTTCCAAACATACTTACCTCCGCTGACACTAATAACTATTTCTCGATCTTCATCTTTGCCATCTAACGTTGTGTTCGCTTGCTCCAGTCTTTATATACTCCACTCGACTGCCCTCGGGAATATCTAATTTGCAAAACTTTAAGCCAGCCTTCACGCGCCCTCTATGCAGGTACTGCATGTAAACATTGTTTTCAGACAATAAAATCACTTTTTCGCGAATTACCTCATTCCGGTCACTAACACCAGCTCTTAGTGGGGAGGAAGAGAAGGAGAGTGTCAGCGGAGATAAGTATGTTTAGAAATACATTTTCAGTTTAGGAAAATGATAACTTCCAAAACATACATACCTCCGCTGACACTAATAGCTAGAATCCCACATTGAGAAGGCAGAGGGGCCAGTGAGGGCAGAGATCATAAAGAAAGCATCTGCAGAAAACAAATATGTACCATGAGAAGTGGTGTCAAAGTGGGGAACATTGCACTACATCCAGAACAGGTATGCTCTTCACCCAGAACTACAGAAAATTGAAAAGGGTGGAATGTAATACAAGTCCAAAAGGCAACATTCCAGATCTGGATTGATAGGATCATATGCTGTACTCCACCAAAATCCACAACTCATCCAGTCTGGACTTACAAACAGTTGTCTTTACTCCCTCACCAAGTGGGCAAGGAGAATTCCACTTATCCATGGAATTACGGAGAGGATGTGGAACATTGTCCCACCAAGGACCAAAGATAGGACTGCATTGCGTTCAGATTTATGAAGAGCTAGTGGACTCCCTGTAGGAACAACATAAGACCTGACAGTGTTCATAAGAGGGTCCAAGCACACCCCCTCCCCACCAGAGAGTTAGGCATCAAATCTGGACTGGTTTTACGAGTAGGCTCCTGTGTAGATTGGTCCTGCTTCTACTAACATATGGGAAAAAATTTCCAGGGACCCCAACTTCAACCTCTTCTCCAAGAGTGGAGAAAACTCAACATTCCAAAGGAAAATCCTCTGTCCACCACCCCAGTGATTGCAAACTGGATGTGGTAAGGACTCCCGAGCTCCACTAGTAGAGGTAAGGGGTGAACATAAGCACTGGGGAGTCCTGAGGAACAGGTCTCCGGAGACAGTGCAACAGGTGAACCACGTTCCCTAATTTTTAGAAGCAAACTGATCATGACTGATTCAGCTCTAAGATCAGCAGAGGCTGGCAAAATCCCCTTTAGCTTTACTCATGATAGTCCATGAGTAGCAGTCCATTAGAAATATTGTAATGATATCAACATCCAGAATTGCATCCAGATGGTCTTATGGAACACCTCATCTCGACAGAACACATTGCAACCAGGAACCAATATAAAGGTTGCTAGTGTAGAATTTAAATTTAAGCATATCCAACTGGGCAAAACTGATTCAACTCTAAGATCAGCAGGGACTGGCAAAATCCCCTTTAACTTTACTCATGATAGTCCATGAGTAGCA